TGAAGATAGGCCCGGAGATGCTTACTGGCATAGAAACTGACTAATCGAAACCAAATCTGGGTGAACTACAAGGAGCCAATGGCTGCCTAGGAGGCAAAGCTTTTGACGTTGACTGGCATAGAAACCGACCAATCAGAACCAAATATGGATGAACTGCGAAGGCAGAACCTAAGGTGGGGGCTGAGGAGGGGTTTTAAGGACAACAGCTGTTTGATGTAAGGTGTAAGAAAGTGGACTTTAGAGGGGTGTCCACCAAGATGGCGGCATAGGTAAACACCGGAGACTGCTGCCGCAAACAACCACTTCAAAAATACAACTAAAAGATGGAACGGACATCACCCAGAACCACAGGAAGGCTGGCTGAGGAGAGACTCTTCAACTAGAAGGAAAAATAACAGCACACCGAGGCTCAGAGGAGGCGCAGTGTGGAAAAAACTCAGGTGCGGAGGTGCGCGCGCAAAGCGGGCTGGTGGCTGAGAGCGCGGTTGTCGTTTTCGGTCAGGGGGGAGTCTCAGACTCTGAGCTCCAGATACGGGCGAATCGCTGGGGACTCGGACCCAAACGGGAGAAGCGGGAGTGTCTGGCATCAGTTGGAAGGCAGCTTTCCCTCCGAGGTTTGCAGCGGTTCCGGGGGTTCTGAGAAGCAGAGCCTCTGGGAACAGGACTGAGGGCACCATAACGGCTCCCTCCGCCCGCCCTGTTGAGCCCGCCCCGCCCAAGCCCTGCGCAGAGCCATTTGCCGGATAGCCTCAGGCAAAGGCTAGATTAGCACCTCCCCAGAGGACAGAAGTTTTCCGCGGCAGACACAGCTGATTCACACAGCCAGTCGGCCTGGTGGTCAAATCCCTCTAGTATTAACTACAACAATCAAGGCTCAACTAGAACAAGACTGCGCACAAAGACCACTAGGGGGTGCACCAAGAAAGCATAAAAAATGCGGAGACAAAAAAACATGACAGAAATGGAGGATATAGAGCTAAAAATCGCAATTTTGAGGGCTTGCAAAAATGTGCTAGAAGCTGTCAATAAACTTGAGGAGAGAGTCACGAAAACTAATGAGACCCTCGATGCTATGATAAAGAACCAACTAGAAATTAAGCATACACGGACTGAAATAAAGAATATTATACAGACACCCAATAGCAGACCAGAGGAGCGCAAGAATCAAGTCAAAGATTTGAAATGCGAAGAAGCAAAAAACACCCAACCGGAAAAGCAAAATGAAAAAAGAATCCGAAAATACGAAGATAGTGTAAGGAGCCTCTGGGACAGCTTCAAGCGTACCAACATCAGAATAATAGGGGTGCCAGAAGATGAGAGACAGCAAGATATTGAAAACCTATTTGAAGAAATAATGGCAGAAAACTTCCCCCACCTGGTGAAAGAAATGGACTTACAGGTCCAAGAAGCGCAGAGAACCCCAAACAAAAGGAATCCAAAGAGGACCACACCAAGACACATCATAATTAAAATGCCAAGAGCAAAAGACAAAGAGAGAATCTTAAAAGCAGCAAGAGAAAGAGACTCAATTACCTACAAGGGAATACCCATACGACTGTCAGCTGATTTCTCAACAGAAACTTGGCAGGCCAGAAGGGAATGGCAAGAAATATTCAAAGTGATGAATACCAAGAACCTACAACCAAGATTACTTTATCCAGCAAAGCTATCATTCAGAATTGAAGGTCAGATAAAGAGCTTCACAGATAAGGAAAAGCTAAAGGAGTTCATCACCACTAAACCAGTATTATACGAAATGCTGAAAGGTATCCTTTAAGAAGAGGAAGAAGAAAAAGGTAAAGATACAAATTGTGAACAACAAACATGCATCTATCAACAAGTGAATCTAAGAACCAAGTGAATAAATAATCTGATGTACAGAATGAACTGGTGATTATAATGAATCAGGGACATAGAAAGGGAATGGACTGACTATTCTTGGGGGGGAAAGGGGAATGGGAGATGCGGGAAGAAACTGGACAAAAATCGTGCACCTATGGATGAGGACAGTGGGTGGGGAGTGAGGGCGGAGGGTGGGGCGGGAACTGGGAGGAGGGGAGTCAGGGGGGGGAAAAAAAGAGGAACAAATGTAACCTGAACAAAAAAGATTTAATTAAAAAAAAAAAAAAAAAGAAAGTGGTTCCATTTTTTAATGACTGGTTTAGCAGTATAGTGCATATGGCTGGCTATCAGTCCAGATATAGGGATTATGTATTTTTGTCTGCCAAGAGCATCTCCTTCTGCTGAAAAAGGCTCCCCCACCCCATTTAAGCAATCCTATCCTAGTAATATAATCTATCTATACTAATAAAAGGGTAATATGCTAATTAGACTGGGTTGACCGGCCATCTTCCGGACGTCCGACTTTCTTCCAGACAAAGCGATGGTAGTGGAGGCCAAGGAAGAGGCAGTTAGGGAAGATCAGGCCGGCAGGGGAGGGAAGTTGGGGGCAACCAGGCCAGCAGGGGAGGGCAGTTGGGGAAGAGATGAGGCCAGCAGGGGAGGGCAGTTAGGGGTTATCAGACAGGCAGAGGCAGTTGGGGGCCATCAGGCAGGCAGGCAGAGAGGTTAGGGGCAATCAGGCAGGCAGGTAGAGGCAGTTAGGGGCGATCAGGCAGGCAGGCAGGTGAGCAGTTAGGAGCCAGCAGTCCCAGATTGCGAGAGGAATGTCCGGCTGCTGGTTTAGACCCGATCCCACAGGAGAGGGTGCAGGCTGGGCTGAGGGACCGCCCCCCCCATGCACAAATTTCATGCACCATGCCACTAATGTATTGTCATAAAAGAGAAAATAATTTGTGATTCTCCTATGAGTATGCCAACTTGTACCTATTATTGATTTGGTATTAAACCTATAAATAGGGCATTATCCTTTGATTATCAACAAAGCTTTAAAAATTTAAATTTTTATTTATCAAATAATTAGCTACCCTTATTTTTCCCCTCCAAAAGGTTCTATTGACATTCAAGACCAACATTCTGTTACCTTATCTCCTTTACTTCATTTTTAAAAGTGATAATTATAAAAATATTTACAAACTAGAGGCCCAGTGCACGAATTCGTGCATGGATGGGGTCCCTCGAGGTGGCCTGTGGGGATCGGGCCTTGGGGCGACCAGCGGGGCGATCGGGGGCCCCCGCTCACACCCTCCTTGGCCTGGCACCACCAGCTCACCTGCTCCACCATCCCACCGCGGTCCCGCTCTCATTGGGTCCCATCAGGGCCGGCAGTGCCTCCACTGCCACCCATTGCCAGTGCCACATTGCTGATGCCTGCCATGTTCTGTGCCGCCCCCTGCTGGTCAGCGCATGTCTAACTTCCAGTTGGTTGAACTCCCACCCATGGGGACAATTTGCATATTTGCCTTTTATTATATAGGATACAGTTATTATTGAATCATTCCCTGCGTTTTATAAATTGAAACAACTTTTTAAACTCTACAAATTGTAAAAAGGAAAAGAAGCTGAAGAATTTCTTTATCATCCAGTTTTAACTAAATTGCTCTCTATAGCCAAAGAGCAAAATAGCAGTGACATTTTTATTTACACTCAACCTTTCATCTAAGAACATGTAATCTGTGACCATTACCCCAACTTTACCATGAAGGCATAGAATTACAGAGATTGAACTGAAGTCAAGAGGTTATCTATACGAGCTTCTATCTCCAAGAATGACTGCATTTTAACAATCCAAGAGATATGTCCATCTTCTCTATTTTTCAAAATCTCCAGGGAAGATGTTACAACCTGCCTTTGCAATTTGCTCTGGTGTGTAATATCCCTTATTTTACTCATAATCCAAATCTGTGGATAAGAAAGAAATAAAACCTGGCTTCCCAGCTTCTCAGTAAAATGTTCTTACCCAATTGTGGTTATAACACAATCATAAAAATAAGTAGGTGAGTGAAAAAGACACTACTCACCTGTTTCAAGCAATAATTATTTTAAAAATAATTTGGAATAACATAATGATTTACACCTATCTTGATTTCATAATAATTTTTTCCCATTAGTAGGAAAAATAATTTCTAACTATTAGATGTGTATTTATGAGTCGTAAATATAAAAGTGACAAATATTTATTGGGAACTATCTGGGTGCCAGGCATTGTAGTCCATAAATAATATCACATTGAATCCTCATATCAAGTCTATGAAGTATTCATTATTATTATCCCATTTTTTAGATGAAGAAGTTGAAGCTCAGGGAAGGTTAGTTGTCCAAGGTCTCATAGATAGTGAATAATGAAGAGAAGATTAAAACCTAGACAGTTTTATTATATTTTAATATCTAATATATATTTAATAATATTATTATTATTAAGCTGCTTTATGGTTAGTTGAAAATATCTGCAAAAAACATGTTTGGTTTTTTTTTTCAAATTTCCATTAGTTCCTCCATTTTTTTTTTAATATAACAGATGATCTGGAAGGTATGAGCACTTTCTGAAAAACATGCACTTATGTAATAAGTAATACTTTAAAATTTGTTTTTTAAAGTTTTCTTGATTGTAACAGGATTTGACTTGGGCCCATCAGATTTGCTTTTAAAAATGTATATGAATACTTTAACTGAATCTTAGTTATTTTGTACTTTATTCTCTCGAGGACCAGGAGTGTTTCTAGGTCTTAATTCTATACTAAATGAAAAGGTGCAGATTTGAGTTTTGAAGCTAGGTTAGATTGGCTTTGATCTAAATATTCTATGAAATATTGTACTTAACTAGAATGTTTCACCAAATGTAAACATAACTTTTACTAGGTAAATTACCAACTATGCTAGCCAAACAATTTCCTGAAATATTGCTTCTTTACCAAAGTAATTTATATTGTTAACACAATAAGCATACTTCTTGTTAAACAGCTGAATGTTTGCATGATATACAATGCCTTCTTAATATTTCATTTTTAGTTGACACTGATATTTACAAGGAAAAAACACATTTCAAACGCCATAAAAACTTTAAAATTTAATTTATACTTCAATATTTGACACAAAATTACCTTTTTCATTGTTTCCTTTCCCACTATAACCTCATGCCCATCTTGCCCCATGCCATTCTTAAAGAACAGAATTCGGACTGAGGTCTTCCCAGTAAGTTTCTTCATTCTAGTAGAAAGAACAGGCTTGGTTTTCCGTCTCTTGACTTTAGTAGGAAACATCAGCCCATTCATTGTCCAAGTTACTTTCTTCATTAACAACAGATGGTCTAGAAGAGAATTTTTTTAATCAATATTTGGCTTCAAAATTAAAAATGGACACATTATGATTCCCCTCCCCCTATTACCTATATCATATACACTGGCCAGTCTCCATTTAGATGCTGGTTTTTTGAAATGCTACCACCAGCTTCCCACTAACCGTGACATAAGCTGTAGCAAGCTGTCTGCTCTGATAGCCTGCATAAATCATCATTTCTGAAGGGAACAGATGTTCAGGGTATGAAAGAGTAATACCACAATTTAGTCCTAATTAAAATTCACCTTAGCATGCCTCTATCACTGATCAGATGCACTGGGCTGAAAGGGTCCAAGGTCCTTTGCTTACTATTCAACAACATGGGTCCTGAACTTTTGTATTCTTTAGGGCTGGGAAAACACAGTTTTTCTCTTTAATATGATTTATTATCCATGTTGCTTTAAAGATGATGACCTCCAAACAGTAACTTTATATGTAATTCTTCCCTTGTGACTAGAATGAAGGTGCCTTTTAGGACATTCTTGGTGACAGATTCAAACTATTTCACTAAAAATGAAAACCAGTTTTGCATTAACAGTTTACTTTGACTTATACATTTTCAAAGATGTATGCAGAAATTTAAGTTTCAAAACTCCCACTAATATTAATGGGAGTGCAACTAAATTACTATGTATGGCTTTGAAAATATAAGAGTGAGAACAGTAGTATTGCATACTAAATTGTTGTCAGCATTCCTTTCTTTTCAAGAGGCTTCATTTCATAAATAAATAATTTTCACCTGAGTATTTTACTTGTACATTCAATTTATTTTAGATAATGTTTTATTTTCACATAAATACAAAGGTGCAATGATCCCTCTTTTATCTGATCTTTATATGTCCTAATGAGAGAAACAAAATATATTTCCATGTAACTGAATATAGCTGCATTTGTTCGCCCACATTCCCAATTAACACTTCTCTATTGTCATTCACCTTGCAAACAGCATGGCCTCTTTGACCTAGAAGCAGTATTTTACAGAAAATCTACTAGTATTGATATGAAATATGAGCAAGTCATTATAAATAATCTTCCAAGTCCCAGAATGGCTACATTAGATATTTAAAAAACAAAAACACTTTCTCTCTCTACCTCCTTCTTGATTTCTCTCTCAATATGTTTTTCTTTCTCTCATACACATACTCACACACACATACAGGCATACAGACATACCCTATAGGCAGAAATATGAGCAAACTTGCAGAATAAATTAAACTAAATTATAGATATGCTTAAGCCTTCAAGAAAACATATCTTTACAGAAAACTAATAGTATCTCTGAAAATAAAATTTAAAAATCTCTCACTGGGGAATAAAAGTTAATAAATTCTTATAGTTTAATAGGAGCTTGCCCATAACCTAAATGCCTCCAAAATGCTTTGAATGGTGGAAAGGTTATAAGCCTTAACATTAGGTTTGAATCTCAGCTCTGTTACTTAGTGACCCTAGATGAGTTATCCCATCCTGCATCTCTGATTTCTCATCTACAGAGTATCTAGTCATGCAGCCGTGGGCAAACTACGGCCCGCGGGCCAGATCCGGCCCGTTTGAAATGAAAAAAACTAAAAAAAAAAAAAAAGACCGTACCCTTTTATGTAATGATGTTTACTTTGAATTTATATTAGTTCACACAAACACTCCATCCATGCTTTTGTTCCGGCCCTCCGGTCCAGTTTAAGAACCCATTGTGGCCCTCGAGTCAAAAAGTTTGCCCACCCCTGAAGTGAGTACCATTTCACCACCTGATGAAACTTAAATATTTTATAGGTTAAAGTGCCTAACACATTGAAGTTACTTCATAAATGTTTGCTTCTTCCCCCATGTCCCTGAAATCCTATGCTTAGTATGGAACGTTAGAGTTTATTACTCATTACATCAGTCAGGATCCAACCAGGAAATCAGAATCTACCCAGAGCATTTGAGCCAAGGGGACTAACTGCAAAGAAGTGATTGTGTATGTGATGGAAAAGACCAAGAAGCAACCAATGGACAGTGAGGCAACCCCGAGGTTAGCAACAGCAAGAAACCAAGGCCAGAGGGAGGAGGTGATACAGGTGCCCAGATTTACAGAATCTTGCCAATAAAGGATTCCCCCCTTTGATTACTTAGAATAGAGGCAGGATTATAGTTAGGCAAGTGAAGGGCCAAAAATGCAACATTTAAGAGTGCATGCTCAGGGTGGTGCAAGGACACAGCACTTAGAGTGAGCACCTCCTTAAATTCTGTCCCGTAGCTGCTTCTCTCTCACCCTGATCCCAGCCCTGGCTCTGACTATCTCTTTTGTAAAACTTCTTAAATTCCATTAAAATAATTCTTACTATTAGCAAGATGCTCTTTTATACAATTTATAGGCATTGATTCACATAGTGCTCTCAGCAATTTTATGGGGTAGATAATATCATTATTCTCATTTATAGGTGAGAAAATTGAGGCACAGAGAAGTTCAATAATTTTCCCAGGGATCTTGCAGCTGGTACATGATTGCACTGGACTGTGAATTTCATTCTAGAAACCGTGCCCCTAGTCACTATACTATTCTGTCTCTACCATATATTTTCCGCCATTATCTCAAATTCAATATATCTAAAGCAAAATCTCACATCTTTCCACATAAATGTATGCACATGTCACATTTCTTATTTCTATCCACTATCTCAGAGAGATCTTGAATCTTTACCTAGTATTCACATCTCTTCAGCCAATTGCTTATTAATTTGATGATACTTGTTTGGTGCCCACTCATCAATGTACCAGGGTGGCAGCTGTGAACAGGACAGAATAGCATGTGCAGATTACAGACCCCATTGTGTGTCCACTTAGCCTCTCTAAAGAGGTGACATCTGGGTAGGAAGGCCTCAATGATGACGAAAATCTGGGGGAAGGTCATTCCAGGCAGAGTGAAAATCAAGCACAAAGTCTCTGAGGTGAGAATGAGCTTGGTGGGTTTGCAAAAGAAAAATAAAGTTTGTAGGTAGATAAAGTAAATTTGTATGTAGAAAGTGGCCAGATTGTGGAGGCCAGGACACAGGGTTTGGTGCCCACTCATCAATGTACCAGGGTGGCAGCTGTGAACAGGACAGAATGGCATGTGCAGATTACAGACCCCATTGTGTGTCCACCTAGTCTCTCTAAAGAGGTGACATCTGGGTAGGAAGGCCTCTATGATGAGAAGTTGGTCATGAAAATCTGGGGGAAGGTCATTCCAGGCAGAGTGAAAATCAAGCACAAAGTCTCTGAGGTGAGAATGAGCTTGGTGGGTTTGCAAAAGAAAAATAAAGTTTGTAGGTAGATAAAGTAAATTTGTATGTAGAAAGTGGCCAGATTGTGGAGGCCAGGACACAGGGTTTGGATTTTATTCTGGAAGTGACGGGAAGCTATCCAACGGTTCTCAGTAGGGCACTGTATGAAGAAGAAACTAAGGCAAAGTGTAGACTGTGGTGGTACCCCTCACCCCTCATATTCCTTTTACATTGGGCTAAATTCCGCTGCGATGAGTCCCAGCCACTAACACCTCACAGCTGCACCCTTCTCCTGAGAACTACCCTTGGTTGAAAGGAACCAGCCACCTAGCCAGGAACCGCCTGTGAGTGATGACCTCTTCCCTCCTCTCTAGAGGTGCAGCCCACAGCCAATGACTGACTGACTGGGGGACACAACAGCCAGTCTCCTTGCCTCAAGGAGGGGCAACTCCTGGTGGTGTGTTCCCCACTCTGTAGTGTGTTTCCCATTCCAGACTAGGGCTAGACCTCAGCTCAAATCAGGGATTGGCCAAACTTCTTCCTCTACTGTATGCTGCTTCCTCACTCACTTCTAGGTTTCACCTAAGAGTATTCCCACACTACGTCTTTTGCACAAAACTCCCCACCTCAGGCTCTGCTTCTAGGGAACCTGACCCTAGACAGAGTTAATGAAGGGAAACCCAATTCCCAGCTATTTTTTCTTCATAGTACTATTAAAAGCATCATTCCTTTTCATTCCCAGGTGGCTCATTTCTTTCTCAGTCTCCTATCATATTTGATCTTCCTCCATTGCATCTGACATTCTACTAATGTACTCCAATTACAACTGAATGTTCCTAAACATCAATTTTGTCATTTTCTGAAGACAAAGATATTGGAGGTAGCTTTTGAAGCTTTCCACTAATCAATCAGTCAGCCTGTCTGTCTGTGTCTGTCAGGTAGTCAACAAATATTTGAGTCTATCCTATGTGCCAGACCTTGTGCAAGGAATATGAAAGATACACAGTCCCTTTCCTTAAACTTGTGTCTAACAAAAGAGTTTGCCAACAATATAACACTGCCCAAAGTTTCTGATTTTATCTTACCCTTGTTTAAAGCCAATCTGTTCATTATCGCTTCATTATGCCAAGTTCATTTTAACCCATCCTTCACCTATTCAAACTCAAGTCCTTCTCAAAATCCAGTTTAAGATCTTCCCTTATTATTCCAGCCCACAATGTCATCTCTCTGAATTCTTAGAGCATGTGCAGCCTGTACCACCCATAAATATATTCATTTATTCCATAATGTTTGAGAATCTCCCACATGCCCAGCACTGTGCTAGGTGCTGAGAAAGAGCATAAATTACCTGGAATTTTATGTAAATGTTGTATAGGTATATATCCTTTTTCTGCTTCAACACTTAAACTTTTAGAAGGTAGGCATCAAGCCTGTATTATTACTTTGCTTCAGGTATAAACAAGTTCGCTACACATAATATAGTTATTAGATGTTAACTCTTCCTGTGCATTTAAATGTTCCATTGATAGCAATTTAATTTTATTTCAGGTTTCATAACATACCAATTGTTGAAAATACTTTATTACTTGTGTATATTTACCTAGCATCTTTATTCCCTACCTCTCCCCAGTATAAACTCAAATGTGATGCTCATGGATGACCACAACGGCATAGAATTAGTTCAGGAAAAGAAGAAAGAAGAAAACTTGCCAAGGAGAAATTCTTGGCAAAC